ATACTGTACTCATGCTTATGTGAGGTCCAATGCACTGCTGTCTGGGGTGTGCGTGGACCTACTAGATCCCTCTCCTCTTCTGCCTCCATACACATCCACTGAAGACACCTATGCAAGAGGAGGAAGAGGAGGAGGAGCATGGGGGCCTCAGGTGACACTTCAGAATGTTACATTCAGGTGGTCCAGGGGAATGTTGAGAAACAATCAAGACCATCTGCACTTGGCCCTGTATTTGGTTATTTTTTTTCCTGAAAATGTTTGCATTTGTGATTTTCATAAGATAAACTTCCCCCTTGTAGGCATCTTAAATTGAATCCCACATTTAATGTAACATGTAGTTTGATTATTTACTTACTTACTTTGGTTTAGATGCTACTCAATTTCTGAAGACCCTGAGTGGCTTACAGAATATTGTTGGGTAGGGTTCAATATTCATAATAAATTCAATCCATAACAATTTGCAAACAGTGATGCGCCATCATTTAGAGGTAGTATGGTCTTACTCATCCCCCAAAGCCCTCCTGAAGAGTCATGTTTTCATAGCTCTCCCAAAACGTAATAAGGACAGGGTGGCCTTTAAGGAAGCATAATAAGGACAGGAGGAAGGGCTTTCCAGAGGAGGGTATCACAGCGGGACTGGGTTCTTTTAAACTGGAGGTGTAGTTAGGTTTGCAAGGATGGCAGTTGACCCCCACAAGACAGTGAAGGATCTTACGCTTTTTTACTATATACAGTGAAACTATTTACAACCGACAAGTATTTATAACAGATACATACCACACAATCCCAGTTTTTACTGGGTGTCAGGTCCTAAGTCTCTCTCCCAGAGACTATTCCTTTTTAGCTCTCCTGTTAACTGCTTCACTTCCTCCCTCTTCACTCCGTCTACCTCTCCTGTTTCTGGGCTTATCAGAGAGAGTGAAAAGAAAGGAATGGGCTGGATTTACCCAGCGCAGCCTGACTCCTTCTCCTGGACCCACTTGGCCGATCACTTTCTCCCCCGTTGTGGGAAGAACCTGCTCAGGATCTTCTGCCCAGTCCTTCCCCAGAGTCCAGGGCTTTGCCAACAACAGCCAGTTCCCTCCTTCCCGTCTTGGGTGAAGATGATGTCTCTCTGGGACTTCACTTCCCTTCCTCCAGGGAAGCCACCTGTGGACTTTTCTTCTCCCTGTCTGACCAGGAACCGACAACTGCTCTGTACACTCGTGTATATTCACTCTTCACCTTTTCTCTCCAGCCACTCCATTTTGCACAGTCTTTTTCTCTCCTCTTTTCTCTCTCTCCAATTTTGGGTCAGATCAAAATTGCATATCCCCCAGCAACTGAGGACATGGGTGTCCCCCCAGGGCTCTAGTCCCCAAACACCTGTATACCAGGCTGGACCAATGGGACTGCTGTCTCTGCATCTCCCTTCATGTCAGCTCATCAGCCCTTGTGACAGCACAGCTGCCCTGCATCTCCCCACAGGCCAGAATTGAGCTTCTTCTCCGCTTTTCTGTCTTCATTTGCTGACTCTTGCCAGTACGACAGCAGCCATAACAGGCCACTAAAAACCATATGCCACCAGGGGCTATCACTGAGAAGGCCTGACTGTGGGCTCCCTCAGTGGTTGGACCATGAACAAGTCATTTCTTCTTGATCTTAGTAGGCAGACAGATTCAGCCTTGAGCTGGGTAGGGTTTTAAAGGTGACAACCAGCATCGTGAATTGAACCCAGAAGCTAAGTGGCATCCAGTGAAGTTCTTAAAGTAGTGTAGAGAGAAGAGGGAATGGCCTTGAGAGCTGCTGCCAAGGCAAAGGAATAAAAGATAAAAGAAACTCGACCCTGGGGCAGGAATGTAACATGTTTAAATGTCTCAGACAAGTCCCTCCCTAGTTCACACAAAATAAAGGGAGGGGGGAGGTGCATTCAGGCTTGTAAGATTTGGTTACTATAAATTTAAAATAAAAGTAGTGTTGGCCTACATGCTTTGGTTTCCTGGCCTGATCTACATTGAAGGGCTGACAAGTTGTGATATAACATAGGCAGACCTTGGTGCACTCTAACTACTCAAGCTGCTGCAATTCTGAACCAGCTAAAGCTTCCAAATATTCTTCAAGGGTAGCTCCATTTAGAGCAAATTGCACTGGTCCAGCCACAAAGTGGCAAGGACATAACTAACCATGTGCAAAACCTCCTGTTCCAGAAATGGCTGCAACCGGCACCCAAAATGTAGTTGTTCAAAGACAACTTTGTCATGGTATCTACCTGCAGTTCAAACTACCTACTAGTGTAAAAGGATCCCCAGTTGTAAGCACAACCCCATCCAGAGTCAAAGATGGACTACTTCTCAGTCAGTTTTTTAATCCACATTTGCTCTATCTTACTGAGATTCAGCGTAAGCCTGATTTTCTCATCCAGAGGCTGACAGCCTCCAAGCACTGGGTTAGGGTGTTTCTTGCTGTGGTGGGAGATATTTAATTAGGTATCATCTGTGTATTGATGATGCCTCCCTCTGTGCTGTCAGATGACCTCTCCCAGAGGTTTCACATAGGCATTCAACAGCCTTGACATTGTATCTCAATTCTGGTGGACCCACATACTGATCTCTTGCCAGCTGACTGGAAGGACATTCATTCCCAGATGTCTGATTGGGCTAGAATGAAAAGAGGAAAAAAAATGGTATTTTAAAAAACTTTTAAGTTGTCTTATGTATCTCATATATCTTACATTACTCCCCTGGGGGCCTAACTTGTCCCATGCATAGATTATCTCTTAGGAGCAGTAGTCTGCTGCGTAGGATATTGATGAGAGATAGTGCCATATAAGGAACAACAATGAAAAACATAGAACCCCATCCTGTTATGAGTGTATACTTTACCAACTAAGCTTTAATTCCTTTGTGAATGGTGCAGTTTGGGATCATGTGATTCCTTGTCTGCTGGTGGAGGTCAGTTAGATCTATTTATATGTCAAATACATTGCTTTGTTCTTAGTAATGGATAAGTACTCAGTGAAAATTTGTTTTCAATATCATTTATTGTTATTTTTATGCTTTTTAAAAGATGTGTGGAAGAAAGGCTAGTTTAAAATACAAGGCAAGTGGCATACTCAGATTTGAAGTTAGCTCAGAATAGCTGTTTAGACCAAACGTGTCCTGCCTTTATTTCCAGTGATTGTATGGACTTCTCTAGTAATGTTGTTGTTATCTTAAGTGCCATGTTGTATTTGCTTTGCAACACTGATTTTAGGACATGAACGCAAGATATTGTTTAAGGAGTTAAGGGCAAAGCAGGGCATCATTTAGCATTGGTCAATCTTTAACATGCTCTCAGAGGAGCTGGAATGACAAGGAAGACAGACAAATAGAGTCAAGAAATATAACCACAGTCAGCAAGAGTAAATCTAAAACGCTGCAAATAAGCAACTCCAACATTAAAAAGGCAAAGAATTAACTAAATGGACAAAAGTAAATCTAAAACACTGCAAATAAACAACTCCAACATTAAAAAGGCAAAGAATTAGCTGAACTGGGCAAACAAGACTGTCAGGAAAAGAATCCTAAAGTGGAGTAAGTGGGTTGTGATTGAAAAAAATGCCTCCAGTCATCTGTGGCTTTTTCAGTTGGCAAAAGAACCTGGCACAGAGCCTTTGATGCTGTTCCCAGTGGCCAGCCAGGGTCATCATGGAAGAAAGCAGTTCCTTGGATACCCTAATCTTAGAGATTTGTAGGTTAAAACTTGCACATTCAATTTGATTTGAAAGTTTATCAGTAGACAATATAGCTGCTTGAAAAGTGCACCCTATTACATGGTCCATTGAACAATCTTGTTACAATAAGCTGTTAAACAACCTTCAAGGGTAGCCTCATAGAGAGCATGTTTTTGTAATCTAAGCCAGTGGTTCTCAAACTTTTTAGTCTCAGGACCCCTTTACATTCTTAAAAATGATTGAGAATCCCAAAGAGCTTTGGTTTATGTGGGTTATATCTTTCAATATTTGCTGTATTAGAAAACTGAAATTTTTAAAAATATTTATTTGACTTTGCGACCCCCCAGAAGGGGTCTCGGGGACCCCCAGAGATCCCCATGCCACATTTTGAGAACCACTGATCTAAGCAAAATGTCATTTGGGTTTGAGAACTGTTGGTTGCAGAAATGAAGAGAATTCCTTGTATGTGTTTGGAATAGGATTCATGAATCATGAAGCTTCCAGTAATTATCAGTGATGCAGTTTCCAGCAAGTGATTATACCCTCCAATGGGCTTCCCCAATTATAGGGTTTAATATAGGGCATCTTCCAGATCTATTGGAGGATGGTTGCTGTAATCCCCAGCAGTATGATCATTGGTAGCTTACTCCAACATATTAGCTCATTGGTAGCCTGCCCAATTGTACTTCACTGGAGTTCAGTGGACTACCAGAGATACTCATCAGACAAGGAAAACCTCATTTGACAGCAAGAAAATCATGGTAATCATCTTGAACAATGTTCCAGCTTCTAAATTTTGTGGGCATCAAGGGGGGAAATTTAAGAGCTAGATGCAATTGAGGATTTTTTTTTTTCTCTTTTGTATGGCAAATGTTTGCTTTGAACTAGTCTTATGTGAACAATTAAGATGAGTCAGGAACATCACTTATGGGTATTTGGAGACTTTTAAAAAAAGTTTGAGAGCATTCTAAGTGGAATTTGACTGTTGCCTTTCCTTCAAAATGATCAGGGTTTAAAATTGCTTGGCTTTGATTGATTATGCCCATAATAATTGAATGCTCTCTTTCGTTTTACTCATCTATATCAGAATCCTGAAGCTTCAGAGTTGTACATAGTCCCAAGAAAGGGATGATGAAAAATTATTACAAATTGTAATTGTTAATGCAACAATAGAGGGAGATTATTAAATACATAATTATAGTGTAATCATATCAACTATGCTTAATTTTTATTAAATGGAGAAGAAATAAAATAATGTTTTGTTTTTGTCCTTTCAACAGTCACTACTTTTGTGGGGAATGAAATCTCTACCTTGTCATTCAAGATTTGGGCCATTATTTTCTTATTTTTTAATTTCCATACTTACATCAGCATAAGATCTCACAATGGAAATTGTTACTTGCTTCTGTAGTTACTAAGTACCCACATACATGTGTGTGAATGTGAGGTAGCTGGCATGGAACTGTTTAGAACTGTACTTAACTGTTTCATTGGATTGTACAAATAAGAGCCTTTGTGGATCAGTGTGTTAAAGGATAAAGAAAGTTAGGGCAATATAGTGGCTAAGGTGTTAAACTAGAGTTGGGGAAACCAAATCTACCTTTAACTGTAGAAGCTTGTTGGGTAATCAGGTGCTAGATATTCTCTCTCAGTGCAGCGGGGGTGATATTGTGGGGTGAAATTGGTGAAAATCTATGTTACATATACTGCTTTGGGTCCCTGGAAGAAAGCAGAATATAAATTTAACAAATCTCCAACTGTGTTCATCCAGTGGCAGAATGGAATGACTGGCAAATAAGACTCTTCTTTTCCCCCCTGCACCTTTCAGCACAGGCTCCAAGGTCTACACAAATTAACTCTGTGGGAGGAGACCATGGGAAACTCCTACCATACCCATAGAAGTTTACTTGCATGAGGTTGGATGCAGCCCTTCATTCGCATCAACAAGTGATTGGATCCTGTCTTTTAAGTACTGAATCAGGGGAAGATTTATATTCACATCAGAGATTTCCTTTAAGTGTTCTTAAAATATGTATAGAATGGTTGATGGAAGAATTTTGCGAAGCTTAGGCATGAATATGATTTCCCACCTGTGTGCAGGAGCCTTTAAGGATGAGACTTCTGTGCACTTGCTTTGGATTTCTTGCATTAGGAAAAAAAGAGAGAATATTATCTATGAGC